CCTTTTAAGACTTTTTAATGCAAATTAAAGAGTAAAAGACCAATTTTGCAAAAACTAAAATACAATAAAAATCTAGTTCAAACAATCAAAGTGTGTTTTTTTTCACTAAATACCCCAAAATGTAACATGGTAAATAGTTTCCACCACCAAAAAAATAAAAAAAGAATCATAGTTACTGTAGTAAATTCCTGGTTTAAAATGTACAAGCATAATTGATGAATATTTAGTCTTCACACTGCAGTCTGAAGTAGCATTTACACCGGGAAAATAGTCGTTTAAACACTTATTAAATGTAGTGGTACACTACTGTTCAAAAGTTTTTAAAAAGACATTTAAAGCTCCTGTAGGTAACTTTTGAAAACATGTATTTGCTAAAACTGTCATTATGTCCTGACAGTAGAATATGAGACAGATAATCTGTGTAAAAATCAAGCTCCTCTGGCTCCTCCCAGTGGTCCTATTGCCATTTGCAAGAAATACACGCTCCCGGTCAGAAATAACCAATCAGAGCCGGGAGGAGTGTCTTAGCAGTGTCAATCACGCGCTGATCACACCCCTCTCTTGCACAGCGCGAGCGCCGGAGCGCGAGCCGTCGTTCAAACTCAAGATTGCCGGCGTGCTGCAGCTGTGCTTATGACGGAGAAACAACCTAAACTGCCAATTCTCGAGTGACACCTGCTCATAAAACAAAGAGGTGAAAGGAAAAAGACTGATGACGATAAACAAGCGAAAAAGAAAGAATTACACAGAGACTCGGTGTCCAAACTCGAGCCGCATAACATGTAGATCAAATGTCACGCACTCTGCTAAGCAACAATTGAAACCTGCTAATTCACTGGCTTGTCATGTTGCTGAAATAATGTACTAGCACACCTTATCTAGCATTATATATCGCTAGAATAATTACTTACATACTGTAACGTTAGTTACCGTTATATTAACGTTATCTTACTAGCTATTTATAACTTATAGAAAGAGTCCAACGTTATAAAGTTACATGTAGGCTATTGGAAAATACATAATGATTTGAGGACCAAGTTTGTAGTTAAAGTATGGGCAGGCCATAGTCAATGTAACGCATATTATTGACGTTTAGTCCCTATCTGTGAATGTGCAATATAACGTTTTATCCGCTGTTATCGGTGGTCCTGTTTACTAGCCTGCGCGTTCACGACAGGCTCCGCTGTGGAGGGAGGGCTGTAGCGCAGCAGAGAGCAAGGGGGTGGGACCTGGAAGTTGTGCTTGTTCAAATTTTCAGGCTAAGTCAAAGTTTTCTCAAAACTCCCTACTGGAGCTTTAAGGGGCAATGACATGAGAAATCAAATTTGCCTTGATCTTTTGACATAAGAGGTCTTTGTATCATTAAAAGTTTTCGTATAGCTTAAAACATCGTCCTCATTATAAACAGTATAAAATGTTTTCAACATTGATAATAATCATAAATGTTTCTTGAGCAGCAAATCATCATATTAGAGTTATTTCTGAAGGATCATGTGACACTGAAGACTGGAGTAATGATGCTGAAAATTCAGCTTTGATCACAGGAATAAATTACAGTAAAAAAAAAAAAAACGTATTGTATTTTATTGTATTTTTGATCAAATAAATGCAGGACTTCTAAAAAAAAATTAAAACTATTTAGAGATCCCAAATTTTGTTTGAACAGTAGTGTAAATCAGTAAATGACAGATTCTTACGGAAAGATGCAAGAAAAAAGCGTGCACTTACTGACAAAAGGAAAAGTCATGAGATGCTGTCTCTTTATCTCAGAGATGCCTTATTAAAAGACTCTCATATCTGCCAAAACTCCACCATTTTTCTCTACACATGACAACCAAGACTTTAAAGCAACACCAAGTAACTGTTCCTCTGCGGCCGCCCTACAGGTTGGAAGCGGAATACACTTTGGCTAAGCCACACCCTAGAATGTAGATTGACCAATCACAGCGCAGCCAAGAACGAGCTCCCACAGTGGTCCGACACTTTTTCACAGCGCTCCATTGACTTTAACACAGGCGTCTCTTATTTTTGGTCTCGGCCGGCTATTACCGTCGTAGTTTTATCAAAAATATGGTTAAACGTTGTGTCTGGGGCATTTGTAACACAGATACGCGTTTCCCAGAGAGGTTGGAGGGGGGTGTGCATTTTATTCCCTTCCCAAAACCGAAGTCAAATCCTGACAAGTGTCGTCTAGCACACGCTGCTAATAAATACAACGTTATACTCGCGTAGTCCGTTTGCTTTGTAATAACGATTATAGAAGTGAATAGAGACTACCCAGCTTTGCATGAACAGTGTTGCTCCTTGATATTGTGAGTCCCAGCCTCCGTCTCCATTAGTAGGATATGCGGTGGGTCATTTGTTGACTGTGACCGTATGCTTTTGCCTCTATTTGGATGCCATGTTGTTCCTTGCGTTTCACCTGTATGTCATGAATATAGCCTTCAAACGTATATTGCTGCCCCTTTTGCCTACTTCTATCGGACACTTTATTTGCTGCTTTATAAAAGTTTGATAAAATTTCAGCAGGAAGAGCTGTCACAGCATAAGCCATGTTGATACCAGAGCCCAGATGAAGTTTGTTTGTCGGACGTAGCAACAGTAACTAAGGGGGGCGGGGCTTAGCCAAAGGCGAATTGTCCATCACCGCTGTGGTAAATCATTTATCCTAGCGCATCCTACTGTCGCACACACACTCGCTGTTTATCCAGCGCCGGCTTTGGAATGAACGATGTCCACAGACGAGGTGGAGTATGCTGCATGATTTCATGAAAGTATGATGTATTGCGACATCAAAAACGAAGAAAAACTAAATAATGACTATTGTAACGCTTGACGTAAAGCAAGTCAAATTTGTAGTTTTCTTACGTCTCATTAGAACTACAGAAACGCAATCTTACACAGCGTGGTTATAGCAGATATAGGAGCGCAAAGCGAATCCAGAAGTGCTTTCACCCTGTTACGACTTAATGAACCACTGGAAACATTATTTGAAGGTAAAAAAATCTTACTTAGTGTTGCTTTAAGACTCCAGGATCTTTTTGATTTTTTACTTTCATTTAAGCCATAATATTATTTCTTTTTCAGGACCCCTGTCACATAAGAACACTCACGTACCGTATTCAAGGGATTCATTTCTCGCTCTTCTCCGAACCTACAATTCTCTCTTAGTCCTAATGGCTTTTTGGCTGGCGCTGGGAATTCTAATGGATATAGAAGGCACGTTATCTGCGTTTTTAGAGAAAGAGTAAGTCAAGCTGCGGCCCATGGGAAAATGTGCTTTAAGGAGACTTTCTAAAGACACATCAACAAATCCCAGCCACTATCAACCCTATCAGGATACAGAACTGATCTCCCACAACCTGTGTATGACTATACAGCGAGATTCACCGACAAATAGCCAGTGCTAAAAGTGTGGCAAGCAACTCCTGACGACCTTGGTGACTTATTGCAGCGCTGTGACCCGGGGATCCAAATAATGTGGAAATGTCCTTGAGCTGAGTGAACTAGAGTCAGCTTTCATCATGGGAGAAGGTCCTCTAGCAGAACAGAGACCAGATGTGTGCGCCATTTCATTAGCATTCTGGAGATAACGCAGAGAAAGAGCTGCTTGACTGAACCCAAACCCAGGAGACAAGGTGCCCATTCTGCAGCCCAGATTACACAATTAAGCACATCATTGAGTTCCTGCCCGTCACCTGAGGAAACGCTACACTGGCCGTCCCACACACAGCTGCACGAAACACAAAGCCTCATCCGCCTCTACTCACCACAACGCCAATGCCGTTTCATACCAGGGTTTCTGCAGGTTTCACAAAGTCAAACTTTTTCAGACCTTTTTAAGACCATTATGAATTAAATTTAAGACCTATAATCACGACATTAAAAAAAAACGTACAAAAGAAACGCAGTCTCAAAATTACTTGCAAAGTAAATTCCTTTATTCAAACTGAACAGTACTGAAGACAGCTTAGATGGATGCACAAAGCTGATTGGCTGTTGCATGTTGGTCTATTTTGTAGTCGTAATTAAAGTGAATTATATTTGGACTAGCGAAATAAGGAACTATAACACCACGTAATAAAAAAACAAAAACATTCCAAAGCGCTGCGGGAGGACGTAGGAAAATTAAGACCTGTTTAAAATGATTTAAGACCTAGAACACAATACTTCAGCAAATTTAAGACTTTTTAAGGCCTTAAATTGTGATTTTGAAATTTGAGACTTTTTAAGACCCCGTGGAAACCCTGTCATACGAACCTGTGCTGATAAACTGAGTTTCACGAGTGGTCTGCTTTCCACTTAGATTGGATTCAGCAATTTTACACTCATCAATCTTGTAAATCCATCCCTCTTCCAAACATTGTAAGATTGTTATGACAAATTCTGACAATTTGTCAACAAGATAACGTTATCTAGCCGGCAAAACTGCAAAGATGACTCTGTAAAAACAACTTCATCCCAGTTACAGCAAAAGTGCTTGATATTTATAGTTACATTATAGCTGTATAATTTCCAGCTTGTTTTTATTTGTAATAAATAACTTTGAAATATCTTAATATTTTGTTTAAATATTAAAAATATGTAGCTAAAAAAAAAAGAAGCTCAGTCTATTTTGGTGGGGCAAGATAAAAAAACAACAACAACTGGACCAGCAATAAAACGAAGTCTTGTTGTTTGATCCCTGTCACTTATGTTTCATATTAGTGTACAGAGCACACACTGTGCTGCCCCCTACTGGTACATACATTGCAGGTCTACATCTAATAATAATCTTTTAAAATGTGCATGACTGATTTTTTTGTTGTTGCATTTTCTGAGCTATTTTAAAGAAAAACTTAAAAATGTTATAAATGGAACTGAGAATTCAGATGCAAATGAACCAAATTAGTCACAATATTTGATAAATACATTTAATAAAAAAAAATAGAGAATGCAATTTTGTTTGTGAGCGTGTTGGTCATGTACTGTATGAGTGCTCAAGTTTTTGCATGTCTTACAAGCTTGTCCTGGTACACCATGTGACGCAGCCATTTGAAGTCCATGGGTTTGAAGGCAGAGAAGACGAAAAGCGAGCTCTTCTCGTAGCGCTCTGGTTTCTGGATGGCTCCTTCAGGGTAGGTGATGCGCATGCTGGTCTTCCGGCCCACGTCCTTCTCGAACCCGGCGACTGGAGCCTCGTTCAGTCTGAACCATGAGGACAAACACCAACATGAAATCCAAATTTGTGATCCATCAGTGAACATTGTTAAAGGGTTAGTTCACCCAAAAATGAAAATGATGTCATTAATGACTCTCCCTCGTGTCGCTCCAAGCCCGTCAGACCTCCGTTCATCTTCGGGACACAGTTTAAGATATTTTAGATTTAGTCCGAGAGCTTTCTGTCCCTCCATTGTAAATGTGTGTACGGTATACTGTCCTTGTCCAGAAAGGAAATAAAGACATCATCAAAGTAGTCCATGTGACATCAGTGGGTTAGTTAGAGTGTGTTAAAGCATCGAAAATACATTTTGCTCCAAAAATAACAAAAACTAGGACTTTATTCAGCATTGTATTGTGTTCCGGTTCTGTTGTGGATCCGCGTTCAGTGCCGCCGCTGACGTGTGTCTGGTGTGTGTGTGTGTGTGTGTTCTGGTTCTGTTGTGGATCCGCGTTCAGTGCCGCCGCTGACGTAAGACGCTGCTGACGTGTGTCTGGTGTGTGTGTGTGTATTCCGGTTCTGTTGTGGATCCGCGTTCAGTGCCGCCGCTGACGTAAGACGCTGCTGACGTGTGTCTGGTGTGTGTGTGTGTGTGTGTGTGTGTGTGTGTATTCTGGTTCTGTTGTGGATCCGCGTTCAGTGCCGCTGCTGACGTGTGTCTGGTGTGTGTGTGTGTGTGTGTTCTGGTTCTGTTGTGGATCCGCGTTCAGTGCCGCCGCTGATGTAAGACGCTGCTGACGTGTGTCTGGTGTGTGTGTGTGTGTGTGTGTGTTCTGGTTCTGTTGTGGATCCGCGTTCAGTGCCGCCGCTGACGTAAGACGCTGCTGACGTGTGTCTGGTGTGTGTGTGTGTGTTCTGGTTCTGTTGTGGATCCGCGTTCAGTGCCGCCGCTGACGTGTGTCTGGTGTGTGTGTGTGTGTGTGTGTGTGTGTGTGTATTCTGGTTCTGTTGTGGATCCGCGTTCAGTGCCGCTGCTGACGTGTGTCTGGTGTGTGTGTGTGTGTGTGTGTGTTCTGGTTCTGTTGTGGATCCGCGTTCAGTGCCGCCGCTGATGTAAGACGCTGCTGACGTGTGTCTGGTGTGTGTGTGTGTGTGTGTGTGTGTGTGTGTGTGTGTGTGTGTGTGTGTGTGTGTGTGTGTGTTCTGGTTCTGTTGTGGATCCGCGTTCAGTGCCGCCGCTGACGTAAGACGCTGCTGACGTGTGTCTGGTGTGTGTGTTCTGGTTCTGTTGTGGATCCGCGTTCAGTGCCGCCGCTGACGTAAGACGCTGCTGACGTGTGTCTGGTGTGTGTGTGTGTGTGTGTCTGGTGCGTCCGTGTTTTCGGGTTCAAATAAATATGGCTGGGCAAAAAAATGCAAGTCTTCCTCTGTGTGGAAATCCTTAGACATGTTTGTGAAGATTGTTTTGTTTCCAGCGTGCGTCTCCCTCAGACTGTAGACGAAGCTCGGGCGCACCAGACACACGTCAGCAGCGTCTTACGTCACACACACACACACACACCAGACACACGTCAGCAGCGTCTTACGTCAGCGGCGGCACTGAACGCGGATCCACAACAGAACCGGAATACACACACACACACACACACACACCAGACACACGTCAGCAGCGTCTTACGTCACACACACACACACACACACACACACCAGACACACGTCAGCAGCGTCTTACGTCAGCGGCGTCACTGAACGCGGATCCACAACAGAACCAGAACACACACACACACACACACACACACACACACCAGACACACGTCAGCGGCGTCACTGAACGCGGATCCACAACAGAACCAGAACACACACACACACACACCAGACACACGTCAGCAGCGTCTTACATCAGCGGCGGCACTGAACGCGGATCCACAACAGAACCAGAATACACACACACACACACACACACACACCAGACACACGTCAGCAGCGTCTTACGTCAGCGGCGGCACTGAACGCGGATCCACAACAGAACCAGAACACACACACACACACACACACACACACACACACACACACCAGACACACGTCAGCAGCGTCTTACGTCAGCGGCGGCACTGAACGCGGATCCACAACAGAACCAGAACACACACACACACACACACACACACACACACACACACAGACACACGTCAGCAGCGTCTTACGTCAGCGGCGGCACTGAACGCGGATCCACAACAGAACCAGAACACACACACACACACACACACACCAGACACACGTCAGCAGCGGCACTGAACGCGGATCCACAACAGAACCAGAACACACACACACACAGACACACCAGACACACACACCAGACACACGTCAGCAGCGTCTTACGTCAGCGGCGGCACTGAACGCGGATCCACAACAGAACCAGAACACACACACACACACACACACACCAGACACACGTCAGCAGTGGCACTGAACGCGGATCCACAACAGAACCAGAACACACACACACACACACACCAGACACACGTCAGCAGCGGCACTGAACGCGGATCCACAACAGAACCAGAACACACACACACACACACACACACCAGACACACGTCAGCAGCGGCACTGAACGCGGATCCACAACAGAACCAGAACACACACACACACACACACACACCAGACACACGTCAGCAGCGTCTTACGTCAGCAGCGGCACTGAACGCGGATCCACAACAGAACCAGAATACACACACACACACACACACACACACACACACACACACACACAGACACACCAGACACACACACCAGACACACGTCAGCAGCGTCTTACGTCAGCGGCGGCACTGAACGCGGATCCACAACAGAACCAGAACACACACACACACACCAGACACACACACCAGACACACGTCAGCAGCGTCTTACGTCAGCAGCGGCACTGAACGCGGATCCACAACAGAACCAGAACACACACACACACACACACACACCAGACACACGTCAGCAGCGGCACTGAACGCGGATCCACAACAGAACCAGAACACACACACACACACACACACACCAGACACACGTCAGCAGCGGCACTGAACGCGGATCCACAACAGAACCAGAACACACACACACACACACACACACACCAGACACACGTCAGCAGCGTCTTACGTCAGCGGCGGCACTGAACGCGGATCCACAACAGAATCAGAACACACACACACACACACACACACCAGACACACGTCAGCAGCGGCACTGAACGCGGATCCACAACAGAACCAGAATACACACACACACACACACACACACCAGACACACGTCAGCAGCGTCTTACGTCAGCGGCGGCACTGAACGCGGATCCACAACAGAATCAGAACACACACACACACACACACACACCAGACACACGTCAGCGGCGGCACTGAACGCGGATCCACAACAGAATCAGAACACACACACACACACACACACACACACACACACACACACACACACACACACACGTCAGCGTCGGCACTGAACGCGGATCCACAACAGAACCGGAATACACACACACACACACCAGACACACGTCAGCAGCGTCACTGAACGCGGATCCACAACAGAACCAGAACACACACACACACACACCAGACACACGTCAGCAGCGTCTTACGTCAGCAGCGGCACTGAACGCGGATCCACAACAGAACCAGAACACACACACACACACACACACACCAGACACACGTCAGCAGCGTCTTACGTCAGCGGCGGCACTGAATGCGGATCCACAACAGAACCAGAATACACACACACACACACACACACACACACACACACACACACCAGACACACGTCAGCGGCGGCACTGAACGCGGATCCACAACAGAACCAGAATACACACACACACACACACCAGACACACGTCAGCAGCGTCTTACGTCAGCGGCGGCACTGAACGCGGATCCACAACAGAACCGGAAGATAATACAATGCTGAATAAAGTCCTAGTTTTTGTTATTTTTGGAGCAAAATGTATTTTCGATGCTTCAACACACTCTAACTAACCCACTGATGTCACATGGACTACTTTGATGATGTCTTTATTTCCTTTCTGGACAAGGACAGTATACCGTACACACATTTACAATGGAGGGACAGAAAGCTCTCGGACTAAATCTAAAATATCTTAAACTGTGTCCCGAAGATGAACGGAGGTCTGACGGGCTTGGAGCGACACGAGGGAGAGTCATTAATGACATCATTTTCATTTTTGGGTGAACTAACCCTTTAAATGTTAATGCTTATTTTCATAATTATACATCAAATGTATTAACTTGTTACCCTTCTGAAACAACAACTGCTTTCTGTTAAAGGTGCATTGGGCAACTTTTCATGTTAAAAATACCTGTTTTTCTATCCTATACATGCTTAAAGAACTGCCTGATGGGCTGAATGAGCCCTTCTCTGCGCACTGAGATTGCCTCTATAATCCTGTACAGTAAAATATATCAGAGGGATTCGGGCTTGAATTTGAGACTGGGCGTGACGTCATGCGCGTTCACGCTCACCAGGCTATGTCTCGCAGGTTTGTGTATTCGCCGGCGCCGCCATTCTCCACATCAGCGAAGACAACTCGTGCGTCAAAGGTAGAAGATGGATTCAAAGAGACCGGCTTGTAGTCCATTCCAAACCCCAACGCAAACTCCACGTAAAGTAAAGAAAAGAAAAATTGTCTAGTGCCACCAAAAGGTCCAAATTGGAGTCAGACAGGCGTCGGGGTAAGACGAGAGTCAACCTCGGGAAGGCATTCAACAAATGGAGAGATCTCCGGTCTGCTCTTGGTCTCAAACGGGATCCTCAGTTGGCTTTTTTCTTGATAAAACGGTAAGATATAGCCCAGTCTCTAATATTTGATACGGCCAATCTATGTATGACAACAAATGACGATGCGTAAAATGTGTAATGCTTTGGCGTAAGCTAGATACATGTACAATCAGAATTGGTTGCAGTTTTGCTCGTCGCCAGAGGGGGCGTAGTTCTGCAAAAACTTGCTCAGAGACTTGCGCTTTGCACCTTTAATATGCCAAATATCAAGTAGTGAAAGGAAAAAATAATTACATTTATATTCGATTTTTTTATTTATTAACTTACCGTACAACAACATCATATTGATCGATTTTGGAGCCCAAGGACTTATTGAACAGAATGCCTCCATTGCCAATAATAATACACTTCTTACAACTAAGACTGTGGGAGAAAAATACAAAACGTGATTATAGCAACTGATCAACTCTACAGCATTACAAGTTGAAAGCATGAAAACAGAAAGTGTTAATATACAAGATATAGTTTATCATGTAATACACAAATTACGTGTTTGGTGGCTAGTTCATGTAATAGAAAAAAAGGAGTGTATGCTGTTGTGTTTATGTGGACGATAATTACCTGTCTAGTTCTGAACCCAGCGAATAGCTATTCGTAGCTAATAAAATATGATCGATGATCTTTTCTGTGGGCAGAGATAACAGATATTTACTCATTTAGATCGAAAGACTATAGAAAATCATCAAGAGCTGTGCCAAATAACTCAACAGAAGTAACACTGGTGTACGGGATCCTATGATGGGCCACGTCGCAGATTCACCCATTTGCTTTTATACAACTGAACTCAATGGGCTATATGCACGCATAACTTCCGCGTTTGACACAAGGATGCTCGTGCGTTTCCGGTTGGGGAGATTTAAACCGAGGAAAACCGAGGAAAACGGGATTATGGCAGAGTCTTCAAAATTTACTGTCCTCTCGTCTTTGAAACGAAACTTTAATACGTTTAGATGTAATTTTATATATAGTTATGTTTATTTAATATAATAAACACAGAAGCATAAACAAAATGAGGAGTGTCTGTTTTGTCTGTTTTTGTGACTAACGTTTCTTTAGTATAGCAATAGAGTATAAAAACCAATATAAATTCTCGGTATAGCATTGGACTCTACGATCGGCGGAAGTAATCCAGCATCCTTAGACCTTCACCGGAAATACCCCCGTGCATAGAGCCCATTGACTAAAGATAAAAATAAAATATCTAAGAAAGAGAATATCTAATACCCCAAAAAGCAGAAGATCATAGAAAATAGTGCTAAATTACAAAAAAAAAAAAAAGCAGGCTTTGAAGCACTGTGTGTTACCGTAATAGCAGATGTGTGTGTAGCTGATGCAGACAAATGGCTCAAATAAAATTAGCAGTCTTTAGGCTCGGTCTTTGCTGAGACACTTATTATTATTATTTTGCACAAACAGAGTTGCCAGTTCTGCTAATGGTCAGCTTGACTGTCTGAAGCCCTAAAAAGCCAATAAGTTGAGTCTTTTTCTTTTTTCTTTACCATGAATGCATACATTTTGCTTAGGCCTATATCATGTGATGCACCGAAATTACCAGCCAAAACAGAAATTTTAGTTTTCGCCCGAAATGGTTTTGGAGAACCAAAATAAGTGAGGTTTAATGGAGCTTCTCCGGTGGCACGCTTTGACTGAATGTGCACATCGTGGATAAACCACAATGATATGGATAATGATATGGATTCTCAAGATCAATATTTTAGTCTGTGCTGTTTTCGGGTTAATGATTAACCCTCTGGGGACCAAGAACGCGCCCGCGCGTTTTGCTGTTTTTTTTTTCACATAGCAGCAACATAGACTTAAAATACTCCGTCATTTATGGTCATATAAATAAAATCAATACATGATTATAAACTATAGAGGGTCTTCTTTTTTTGTGTGCACTCACATTAACATCAAAACCTTTTTTTTTTTTTAAATAAATAAAATAAACAGGGTGCGCTTTCAGCTCACTGTGTCTCCGCAAAAATCTTTCTGAAACATATCCGGAAAATGAACGGAAACTCCGCTAATACTTATCACACAAACATGAAACATACGTCTAAAGAACGCTTTAAATTTCTACTTTTAAATAAAACAATTCACATTTAAAACAAATATTCTCCTGCAATGTAATCTGTCTGAAACTAAAGAGAAGTACAGTTTCTCCTGTCTCAGCTCATTATCGTTAATTTGTTCACACCCACTCGCAGAGCGCGCTATTCATAAGATAATGTGTTGAGGCCATTTGCAAAATAGATAAACGCCCCCAGGCAAATGCTGTAAACACAATATATCTTTTAGTCAGATTAAGAATCGTCTTGCGCGGCTATGAGGAATAATCCTGGGACATTTAATACAGAAGTGCTGGTTTATTTTCACTTCGAGGAGGAGCAACAGATTCAGCTGAGAACTGTAAGTGTTTTATGCTTGCAAGCATAAAATGTGCTTTGTTCGAATCGCGATATAGAATAACGTTAGTGTCTGTAAACGGAAAAATAGCATACTGTTTACATGTAAATCTGTTTCTCTCTCTCTGTGTGTGTGTGTGTGTGTGTGTAAATGAATGAATGAACGCACAGATACCCACTGTTACAGACAAAATAAAAGACAAAATTTCGTTGACTAGTTTTGGATAAAGTTTTTCAAATCAAATAAGCTTCAAATAAGCACATCAGCTTTTGTTAGGAGTTTCTGGGGATAGAAGTGTCCAGACGTATGCACCCTGTATTTTAAAGAAGAACATTTAATTATTTGCGATACATTATTCATTCACAAAGAATTCAGGGACATTATACATGTCCCTAAAGGTTAGAGTTTTCCTCTTTTTTTATTAAGGCATTAAGATTTTTTATTCCTCTTTTTAGTCAACTTTAACATGGGTGTGTTCACTTCTAATTCTAAGCAGTGTGTGTGTGTGTGTGTGTGTGTGTGTGTGTGTGTGTGTATATATATATACACTACCGTTCAAAAGTTTGGGGTCGGTACGATTTTAAATACTTTTAAAAGAATTCTCTTCTGCTAACCATGGCTGCGCTTATTTGATTAAAAATACAACAAAAATCAGTTATAGTATTAAATATTATTCCAGTGTAAATCAGCTGTTTTCTGTGTGAATATATAGTAAAGTGTAATTTATTCCTGTGATCAAAGCTGAATTTTCAGCATCACCAGTGTCAGTGTCTTCAGTGTCAAATGATCCTTCACAAATCAGTATAATATGAGGATTTGATGCTCAAGAAACATTTATTATTATTATCAATGTTGAAACAGTTGTTGGTCTGTCAGTTGTACAGTTTTTTTTTATTTTTTTATGATTCTTTGATGAATAGGAAGTTCAAAAGACTTTTGTAACATTATAAATGTCTTTACTGTCACTTTCGATCAAATTAATTATTCCTTGATAAATAAAAGTATTGATTTCTTTCCTCCAAAAAATAAAATTAAAATTCTCACTGACCCCAAACTTTTGAACGGTAGTGTATATAATTAAAAAGCTATTTTAACCAGAAAAATCTACAATGCATGCCCAAAGTCGTGCAGCCATATAGTTTCTCTTGATATCAGTCCTGCTGACTTCAACATTCACAGGAGACTGTAATGAAAAATCAAACACCTTGGAAATGACAGGTATGTACTATATTTCAGGAATGGGACAATGCTGTGTGACTTTGCAAGTGTGTTTACAGTACTAATGTGCTTTTTTGTCCTTTGTTGCTTTGGATTATGTTGTGTTGTAAATAAATCCAAACAATCTAAAAGCCATTCTTTTTTAAATCTCCTCATTCTTTGTGCAAGGCTCCTCGTAATGATAGGGCCTGATAGCACCTAATAGGGCCATCATGGGAGGGTCTTTGTCTTTCTCAGGTGTGAAATGCATACATATTAATGAGAGATCACGCCTCCTCGCATAAAGCTTTCTCACACTAAACACGTCATACACATTATAAAATACTTTATTGACTTATCTGAATGAGTAGTCAGGACGATTCTCACATTGTTTTGGAGCAAATATTCTAGACTATGTGATACAATTTTCAAAAGTCTTGTGAAGAAATAATCAATATGTGTTTTGTGGTCTTATTTCAGAAACTTTTATTTTTAAGTTTTTCAATAACCATGCATAAATAATATTCTCTCAAAAATACAAACTTGTACATACATGTTGCTCACAGATTATGGTAGCCCCGTTTGTGCTATATAGAGTGAATTTACACCTTTGCCATTAACATGTTTATAAATAACTGAAAAAAGCACAAATGTCAGTGCATGTCAAAACATCCAAAGGGCCCCAAAAACTCCTTGGTCCCCAGAGGGTTAATGAGCAAAACTTCGCTTTCTCCTTTTTAATGTGAAAACAAAGCCTGTCTCAAGTTTAAAATTCGGTCAAGTTTATTATGCAATTCAAACAATAGAGTAAATGTAGCTTTGGTGCTCTTATCAAGCGACACAGCGTCTCAAGCGTATACCGATCATCTCATCTCCTCTATTACAGAACTAATTAAAGATGAATGAACAGAAGGAATGTTAAAAGATACATTACAACTTACCGAAATGTCTCATGTAACTGCTCAAGTGTTTCAACCGCGGAAAGATGTTCATAAAACGGCTTGAGAACAATATGGTCACGTAATGTTACATTTACCACAGAAAAGCCATTCAATGACAACAAACTGGAGCGTTAGCTAGAAAAAACATTAACCATAGAAAAGAGCATTTTGCTAAATATATGCAGCACTGTACATATACATTATATTTTGACTTAACCTGTTAGATTTATGTTCCTTATTTAATGTATATTTGAATAAGTCTGTCATGAAAAAGTTATTACAGCCATCGTTTAAATGTTTATATTAACCAACAAATTGGAGTAGAAACAATTATATTAAAATGTTTATATAAAACTGCCTTACATTTTAAAAGTTTGTGCAACTTTTATTTGATTGTTGAATTTTTTAAATAAAATGTATTTAACCAATTGATTAACCAAATGTATTTTCATTTTCCGTATAGGTTTTTGGCTAAATTAATATTTCAATTTCCGTTTCGGTACAAAAAATAAAAGATGGTGCATTACTAAAAATGATTAATTAACTAAGAAGTCTAATATTAATACAATTGCACACAAAACAAAAACTATTGAAGCAACCTCCTTCTATTGCTTAAACAATTAAATCGGAGTTCATAAAATGTATTCTGAATAAAAAGAACTAGTCTCATTCAATGGGTATTATAGGCTAATATATAATGTTATTAATAATAAGATTGAATGCATTAATACAATGATAATTCACTGCATGCAAAATCAGATGTGCGGTACACCCCTGAGAAATTTACATTTACATTTATTCGTTTTCCAGACGCTTTTATCCAAATGAGAACAATAGAAGCAGTTAAATGACAATAGAAATAACTATATTGTGACATACACGTGCTGAAAATGATGGTGAGATGAGCCGTTTCCAAACTACAGCGCATTGAGACATCTTTTCCACTTACTAAAATGAGGCATAATATGATTCAATATGAATCATACCTCCACCATCCCTTCTTCCTGAGCACCTTTTGCATGCTACGTTTATGTAGTATTATTTAAGGCAATATTAATCTAGTCATACATGCTATTTAGGGTTGAAGATCTACATGAGTGATCTATGTGTGAATGTCGGATTACATTAAAAGGGACATTTCTAAAGCATCAGTCTCACGCTAACATGAACAATGCTGTAGCCTCCTGGGAAAGATCCTACATCACACACTCAAGAATGAGGAAAAACCCTAAGTTTAAAAAGCCATTTATCTTCTGCACAATCCATTGTGCTATTTTTAGTCAAACCGAAAGGCTTTCCACTGGGAAACAAGCTCTTTATGCTAAAGATAATAGAACAGGATTTGAATGTAAAGTCCACAACAACAAAACCACTGATCCGCGTCATTTTTAGATCATTTTATTAGTCTGCCTGCCTAGATCACTTGGAAAAGTAATGGTACACCTTGCCTTAAAAAGCCATGCTATTTAACGCATCATTCATGTCTGCAGCACAACAAGTTTAAGGAGTCTGTTTCAAAAGAATGAGCAGTATGTTAAAGGGTTAGTTCACCCAAAAATGTAAATGATGTCATTAATGACTCTCCCTCATGTCGCTCCAAGCCCGTTCATCTTCGGGACACAGTTTAAGATATTTTAGATTTAGTCCGAGAGCTTTCTGTCCCTCCATTGTAAATGTATGTACGGTATACTGTCCTTGTCCAGAAAGGAAATAAAGACATCATCAAAGTAGTCCATGTGACATCAGTGGGTTAGTTAGAGTGTGTTGAAGCATCGAAAATACATTTTGGTCCAAAAATAATAAAAACTAGGCCTTTATTCAGCATTGTATTATCTTCCGGTTCTGTTGTGGATCCGCGTTCAGTGCCGCTGCTGACGTAAGACGCTGCTGACGTGACGTCTGGACAAGGACAGTATACCGTACATACATTTACAATGGAGGGACAGAAAGCTCTCGGACTAAATCTAAAATATCTTAAACTGTGTCCCGAAGATGAACGGAGGTCTGACGGAGCGACACGAGGGAGAGTCATTAATGACATCATTTTTGGGTGAACTAACCCTTTAAGTGCATTCATCTCAACATCACATTAGCAGTAATTCACACACACACACTCACACTCACACTCACACTCACACTCACACTCACACTCACACTCACACTCACACTCACACTCACACTCACACTCACACTCACACACACACACACACACACACACACACACACACACACACACACACACACACACACACACACGTTTCTGCCGAAAGGCACGGCTTGAGAAATGTCAGCAGAAGGGATGAAGAGACGCTGGCAGTTTTGCTCTGAACATCTTACACCATCTGCCAAAGCATATAAACTGAGGATAACTCATCACTTAACGAGCACATTTGTGATTTAATCAGGCTGGAAGGTATTACACACAAACCCTCAGGGCCAGAGATGAACGAAGGCCGGTGGAAACGTCTGTAAGGAACCACTGAAGACGTGATTGAATAGATGGCCTCCACCTTTAACCTGCAGGAGCCTCTGGTGACTAGTTATGTGGACATTAGTTTAACATCTACATCATATTTATTTTTTATAATTTGTAAGTCATGTGCAAATGTTAATCTACACGAAAATACTGACATTTGTTTGTAAAGCTATATGAATTAATCTTGACTGAACATAAACTACCAGTCAAAAGTTGGGAATAATTAAGACCTTTTAATCCTTTTGAAAGAAGTCTCTTATCCTCACCAATGCTGCATATATTTGTTTAGAAATAATATTGTGAAATATTATTACAACTTTTCTATTTGATTTTGAATTAAAATGTAATTAATTCCTTTAACATTGATAAAAATAACTAATTATCGAGTATCAAATCAGCATTAGATTTCTGAAGGATCATGTGACACTGAAGACAGGAGTAAACCATAATATAATAAACCGTAATATAATAAAAGGCTTCAAGTTCAGAACGACGATGAACAGCAGGAGTGTAAAAGACACCCTGATAAATCAAGGATCATTGTCATAACCCTTATCATAAAAACTGATTTTAAACAAAGAAAGAAATACCTTGTGTTCTCACTCCAAAAGGTGGAGGGTAAATGCTGATCTTTGATAGCCGCTTAAAATTCGGATCAAGGAACATGGGAGCTGGTTTTAAAAACCTAAAAGAACAAATAAAAGACAGAGAGAGAAAACAAGTTAAAACAAGCACGAGTCTCACACGAATCGCTCCACAGCCCACATGAGAAAACGGGTGCGATACCGAGAACCGGTGGAGTATTTGATAGGATTATGCGGCTCGCATAACCCATAATCCACTGGCTACCAGAGTGTTTATCAGCTCGTAAGAGATGAGCACTGGAATGTCTGAAGAAGTCCAGCCTAAACTTGACCTTTTCTCAAAACAAGCAGAGACTTATAAGGAGCTGAGCTCGCCAAGATACTCATCATCTACAGACGTTACACTACAGTCAAGATACACTTTTGAAAAAATAGTTAACTACACTCAGAGCCAGCTCTCCCTTTAAGCGAACTAAGCGGCTGCTAGCGGGAACTAGCTTATAAAAATATATAGCTGCGAGCAGCGATGAAGGGCCAAAGCCGGCGGTAACTTTAGGTAACTAAAGGCACCGGGGTTGCGGTCCACACCGGCTTGGGCCCGTAATCGCTGCTCGCAGCTATATTTATATATATATTTTTTCTTTATTTTTTAACTTGCTGTTATGTTATTTGATGTAGATGGTTTGTATTTAGATACTACTTGTTACTTCAATAAATGCAACAACTTTATTGAAGATTTGTTAGATTAGGGTTAGATTGTATACAGTTGCTGGTTTGCGGTAGCAATACTCCATTATTTACTGCAAGGCAGGGCCCCAAAATTTTTCAGCTTAGGGCCCCCAGATTTACAGAGCTGGCCCTGACTACACTATATACAGGACAGGTTATTCAAGCAATATTACAGTTCCCTAATTAGAAGAGAATATAGAAGGAATATAAGAAAAGAGACCAACAGACTATAACAGGTCTTGAGCAACTCTTAACAAGAAGATTTGGCTTTATTTTTCTGTGCTTTATAGCAACACCTAACATGTTATACAAACAATCATTTATACAGCTAATCTCGCTTTCCAGACACAAGCTGTGTTTCATGGAGAAACGCCCAGATTTTGGTCAACATCGTCCACCTGATACAACTATCCACAGCCCAAACTACGCTGAACATTTCACTGGCTGACAAAACAACACCTGAACACTTGTGTCACGTCGTTCGCAGCTGCTCGACCCCTGGTGTAATGCACTAATGACACAGGTGGTGCGCTGTACTCCAGTTCCCATGAACACAACACTCTGCGCTTCTTCACATCCCAGCCGCCTAAGTGAAGGTGACACACACTCCCGCTGTTTCTCACCGGCTACAACTTCCAAAGCGAACGCTTGTGAGAAAAGTTAGTGAACCCTTCATGAGTATCAGGATTGCCGCATACAAGACGCCTAAACTATTCATGCCATAATAATGCCAATTTTTTATGGGTCATATTATTTTCACAGAACTAATGGTAATGTTTCAACTTATTCAGACGTAGGTTTGACCTGCTCACAACATACAACAAAGCAGACGGAAAGTGTTTCTTCAGGGCTTGACGTTTACTTTCTTCCCCAAGTTGAAAACTTCAGGAGCGCAAAGAAAATGTATCAAATAATGTGTTTGTCCTTAAAGGGATACAAGGAGACATTTAAATTACAAGCAAAATATTTCTATCCATATATTTTTTTTGAGGTATATATAAACTGATTATTAAATAATGTGTTCAATAACGTTTTTCCCTCCAGTGACGGGCAGGAAAAATAAATAAGAAGAACTTGCATGACTTTTATTTATAACCAAGCTTGAGATTCACATGGACTCTTATTTTGAAATGTCTATGCTTTACTATTGCATGCTGCTCATTCCAAAAGATATGTACTCTTACAACCAAGAACAACCAAAATGTTGTAAAACTGCCCAACATTTTACAATATAAACCCCATTAAGTAATCATTGTCATAATCCATCAACAGTAAATCATAAGCAATCACTTGGAAAAAATGTACGGTGTTCCTTGATCACGAGCATACATGCAACAAGTGCTATTTTTCTACTTTGAAATATGCAGCACTCATATTTACGATGAAATCATACTTTTGAAGTTTAATAATCACATTAAGCCATATCGCAATTCCGATATCTGATCATTAAGATGTTTGTTATACCGTTAAAGATTATTAAAACTGGTAACACTATTTCAAGGTGACGTGGTGACACATGCTATAGTAATAACAGTAAATTATGCACAATTACGTGCAACTAACCCTTAATCAAACCCTAACCCTATTGTAAGTACATGTAGTTAATTAATATTACTCAGTACTTATTTAAGTAATTACAAATGTAACATCAGATGCATAATTTACTGTTATAGTAACTAATTAACATATGTAACAATGACACTATAAAATAAAGTGTTACCAAATAAAGTGTAACCCTAAGTAGACATGTTTTATTTTTATGGAACAGCAGTGACTTTTATTCGCTCCTAAATAATATTGCAAATGCGAGTGAAAGACTCTAGCCATTTCTTATGGATTTTTGCCAATAACGATTTCAAAACAACTAAATTGTGCTCAGATCTGTCAAGCTTAACTTCAAGTCTGCAATCAACAGTCAGATCTCAATACAAACTCTAGCATTTCTCATCAAATTCTCACAAGAACAACTGAGCTGCTATCCACTTTCATTTTATATGTATGTTTATTTGTTTACCGCATGTTAATTATTGACTCATTTATTTCTATTTTTAACTTTTACAGGAAACTTCTGATATCAGGCATCAAAGCTGAATTCTTAAATACTAAAGTTAAAGATAAATGAGAACTAGTAAGCGTCCCTTAAACTATGAAAGAGCGACCTCTGAACATTTTCTTAACATCACCAATTTACGACAGAACATTTCAAGCCAACTCAAATGTAGCTGCTATGTGAAGCTGCAACTTGCATAAACGTGTGTTCTTGCCTATTACTATTGTCAGATTCTAATTGCATGGCCAACTAGACGTTTAGCGTCTCAACAAACACTGAATATGTCATGGTCTATTTAGTATTCCCATCTGACTCCACTTACACCAAAAAGGTTCAGCATCAAAGATTCAGAGTCATGTGATCCAGCCCTGAGCCCCATTTTTCACAACGCCGCTCTATTTAACAGATGAAAAGCAAATTTTCACATGGATTTCACGGGGTAATTCATGAAACCTTTAGTAAACTGATGTTTCATAACGGATACAAAAAAAAACTAAAAGAAACTTCAGCCTTTCCTTTATATATAAAAATGTTCCATTGAAACGGTTATGTTGCTTGACGATCTACAGCTATTATACTAATGAACTATATTACTTGGCAGAAATGAATATTATCATTAAACGTATTATTTATTAACAATAATATTTATTTGGTAACACTTTACAACAAGGTTCCATTTGTTAACATTACTTTAACAATGAAAAATACGTCCACAGCATTTATTAATGCTAATCTCAACATTTAGTAATCCATTATTAAAATCAAAAGTTGTTTATACTTAATATTAGTTAATGGACCTGAGCTAACATGAACTAACAATGTACAGTTGTATTTTTATAAGCTAACGTTAACAAAGATTAATAAACACTAACAAACATATTGCTCATTGTTGGTCAAGTAATTATGTTCTAATAATTCAACAGACCGGAGTCAATGACTCCGCTTATACTACGGTTACTCCTCCAGATATTGTTCAGATATTGTTTTTCAAGACATTTGTCAGGCTGGTGTCCGTAAAGCGCTCTTGTTTGTAGGATTAATTTCTAACACATCTCATCCCACGCCTCCGTTGCCAATTCCAAAACCTGAATTGATAGCAGACTAATTGCCTGAGTGTGTGTGTGCGTCTCTCAACAGTGTGTGATGGCAGCGTCTCTACTAGTAGCAAAACTGTACGTTTATCTGCTTCAAGAACAGCGCAGTTAACTCCTCGCTAGTGAGAAATGTCATGTAGCTTTACTATTTATCTGATAAAATCATCAGAGCAGCGCTGACAACAGGTTTCTGTGTGAGTGTGTGTCCTCCGTACTGTATGAGTGTGCGTTTGAGGAGGAGAGAGAGAGAGATAGGAAGAGTGAGAGTGTATAATAAAAAACTTAATTTTGCCACAAAAAACATGGAAATAATTTATATTTTTTTTATCCTATTGTGCGTACACTCACTTAAAGGATTATTAGGAACACCATACTAATAGTGTGTTTGACCCCCTTTCGCCTTCAGAACTGCCTTAATTCTACGTGGCATTGATTCAACAAGGTGCTGAAAGCATTCTTTAGAAATGTTGGCCCATATTGATAGGATAGCATCTTGCAGTTGATGGAGATTTGTGGGATGCACATCCAGGGCACGAAGCTCCCGTTCCACCACATCCCAAAGATGCTCTATTGGGTTGAGATCTGGTGACTGTGGGGGCCATTTTAGTACAGTGAACTCATTGTCATGTTCAAGAAACCAATTTGAAATGATTCGAGCTTTGTGACATGGTGCATTATCCTGCTGGAAGTAGCCATCAGAGGATGGGTACATGGTGGCCATAAAGGGATGGACATGGTCAGAAACAATGCTCAGGTAGGCCGTGGCATTTAAACGATGCCCAATTGGCACTAAGGGGCCTAAAGTGTGCCAAGAAAACATCCCCCACACCAATACACCACCACCACCAGCCTGCACAGTGGTAACAAGGCATGATGGATCCATGTTCTCATTCTGTTTACGCCAAATTCTGACTCTACCATCTGAACGTCTCAACAGAAATCGAGACTCATCAGACCAGGCAACATTTTTCCAGTCTTCAACTGTCCAATTTTGGTGAGCTCTTGCAAATTGTAGCCTCTTTTTCCTATTTGTAGTGGAGATGAGTGGTACCCGGTGGGGTCTTCTGCTGTTGTAGCCCATCCGCCTCAAGGTTGTGCGTGTTGTGGCTTCACAAATGCTTTGCTGCATACCTCGGTTGTAACGAGTGGTTATTTCAGTCAAAGTTGCTCTTCTATCAGCTTGAATCAGTTGGCCCATTCTCCTCTGACCTCCAGCATCAACAAGGCATTTTCTCCCACAGGACTGCCGCATACTGGATGTTTTTCCCTTTTCACACCATTCTTTGTAAACCCTAGAAATGGTTGTGCGTGAAAATCCCAGTAACTGAGCAGATTGTGAAATACTCAGACCGGCCCGTCTGGCACCAACAACCATGCCACGCTCAAAATTGCTTAAATCACCTTTCTTTCCCATTCTGACATTCAGTTTGGAGTTCAGGAGATTGTCTTGACCAGGACCACACACCTAAATGGATTGAAGCGACTGCCATGTGATTGGTTGATTAGATAATTGCATTGATGAGAAATTGAACAGGTGTTCCTAATAATCCTTTAGGTGAGTGTATATGCGTTTTCATGACCTGAACCAGGAACCAGAAAACTAATAATGTCAATTCACACTCAAACTACAGAACCAGCAGAAGACATTCCCTCTCTGGTTCTGACACTTCGTTCTTATGCTCTCAAATCCAAACCTCAACGGCGTGAAGAGTCCTGGAAGGATTCTGATGATCCATAAACTGTGGTTTATATTAATCTCAGAGGTTCTTGCGGCAAAATGAAAGCTTTGCGTGCCAGTCGTGTGAATCAGAAAAGCAGCTCTCTCACGCACTGGGAGCCCAGAGGAACACAACACACCCAAAAAAAGATCCTGATGCTAGTGATGCGCTCTGTGGAGTGAAATATGCCTTAAATCAACACATAAAGAGCATTCACTGTGGGGAATCTTCTCAAACACTCAATTATTTAAAAGAGAAAGAAATATTTCATTTATGCCACTCTGAGCTCCTCTCAAGAGCATTGCATGGCAAAACATCGTCTCTGTGTAATGGGTTTAAAACAAACTACACAACACAAATGCAGTAATGCTTATAAAAAGAAAGGACAAGTCTTACACACACAAAAAAAAAACAAGTGATAAGTGTCTGTCTTTGTTCTCACTCCTGAAAAACATGCAATGCTGGTTAAAACCAGTTATGACTATTGCATCGCTGGTTACCAGTATAAGAATCGTTTTGGCCTCTTTCAAGATGATTTCATGGTTTATCTGCAACAATAACCAGTAACTGACCAGCATTGCCAGTGCAGAACCAATAAAGAAATCTTGCAATTTCTCAGAAAGGTCCACATGAAATCAAATGGACTCTTTTCACTTCAATGTTCCAGAACTTAATGTCAAAGTTATTCATCCAAGTCTAAACTATTTTGTTAATAGCAGAAGAACATTTATAATAATATAATATCTGATATTGTGAACTTCCTGTATTTCACAATGTATGGTGAGATCAGCTTACTTTGGATAGATTAATGTCATCTTGGCCTCTGTATAACCCGGTTTACACTCTCCTTTACTGAGGTTACCATATTTATACTGCAGCTCCAGGGGCCTGTGAACCAACAGAAGAACAACTTGAATGCAAAAGACAAGATAAGAGGATAAAACAGCAAATCCTTGAACCTTTAGGATCAGGCATATGGTGGCCCCAAAAATATTTGGACCCCTCTGTCACTCTTAAAATCTGAATGTCATTGCATAATCAAATGTCACAGGAAGTGGCAATTGCAACGAAATGTTGCACAAGACCAACCGGTCTTGTATTGGATGTATGAGGTCCATTCTTCACAAGTTCACACAGATGTTTTTGCACAGTGACCACATGTGTAGTTCATCACATTTACTATGAACCCGTTCCTCTAACGGTTCACATCCACAGTGTCACAATACTGTGTCTTCATTTTCAACACTACATTCAATGCTTTGCCACTTTAAATCTAACAAACTTTCTTTTGTGAATGGAGCTTGATCCGTCTTTAATCACAATAAATGCATGACTTAAGTGTCCAAATATTTCTGTGGCCATCAAAATATCCAAAGTGAATTTCCCGACAAGTACTAACTAGTACGATTCAAAAGTTTAGGGCCTCACGAATTAAAAAAAAAAAAAGAAATTAATGTTTTTATTCAGCAAGGGTGCATTAAATTGATCAAAAGTGACTTTCTATTCAAAAAATATGAAGCAGCACAAGTTTAAATCAGCATATTATAATGATTTCTGAAGGATCATGTGACACTGAAGACTGGAGGAATGATGCTGAAAAATTAACAAGTTATTTTAAATTTTAATAATACTATACAATATTAATGTTTTTACTGCATTTTTGATCAAATAAATGCTCATTTTCTTTTTCAAAAACATTAAAAATCTTTTTAATTACCACAAACTTTTGAACAGTAGTGTAAACAACTTAACTGGCCCTAGTTATCAAAACCACATGATTTTGTGATATCTAAAATATGCACAATACAGATTTAGCTCCATAGATGGTTGCAAGTTAAATGAACATAACATTTAATTCCTAGAAAAATCAGGGGAATTAATTTAAAATGCTCCAGAGCATATTTATTTGAAGAGAATTAATTTTCCTGGGAATGAATCAACTTCATATCGGTCATATTAACATCCAT